AGTTTTACTGATAGTGTTCCACTACTGGCCACTGAGAATCTTAGGAAACTGTAAACTGATGGTGGACATTTTAACTCTGTCTTGGTTAGGATTTGAAGATGTTTCCGTTCCATACTCTGCTGTTTACTCTCAGACTCCTAGTGATGAATCCATGTCTCATTACCAGAAGGGAGAACATGCTCAGCATTTCTCAGTCTGAGGAAACTGAAGAAAAATTTCAAGCCTCGACTTTCATTATTGAAGGATTCCCTGGGCAAATTATTGAATGATGCAGAAAGCATAAAAAGAAGATGGAAGGAATACATACAGTCACTATACCAAAAGGAAATGGTCAAAGTTCACCTGTTTCAAGAGGTAACATATGATTACGAGCCAATGATACTGAAGGAAGAAGTCCAAGGTGCGTTGAAGGAATTGCAAAGAACAAGACACCAGGAAATGATGGAATAAAACTTGAAATCTTTTAAACAAATTATGCTGTACTAGAGGCGCTCATGTATGCCAAGAAATTTGGAAGAGAACTACCTGGCCAAGTGATTGGAAGACATCCATATCTGTGCCCATTCCAGAGATGTGACACAGTGGAATGTGGAACTCATCAGACAGTATCATTGATATCCCATGTGAGTAAAGTTGTACTGAAGGTAATACAGAAACAGCTGCAACCATAATTGACAAGAGAACTTCCAGAGGTTCAAGGCAGATTCAGAAGAGGACATGGAAAGGGGATTTCATCGCTGACGTCAAATGTATCTTCGTTGAAAGGAGAGAATACCAGAAAGATGTTTACCAATGCTTTACTGACTATGCAGTGGCCTTCGATTGTGTGGATCATGACAAGCTATGGGCAACATTGCAAAGTATGAGTATTCCGGAACACTTAATTGTGCTCATGAGGAACCTGTACATGGACCAAGAGACAGTTGTTCAAACAGAACTTGGGAACACTGAATGGTTTAAAATTAAGGTGTGTGACACGGTTGTATTCTTTCACCATGCTTATTCAACCTGTATGCTGAGCAAATAATCTAAGAAGCTGGCTTATATGAAGAAAAATGTGGCATCAGGTATGAAGGCAGACTCATTAACAACCTGTGATAAGCAGATGATACAACCCTGCTTTCTGAAAGTGAAGAGGACTTAAAATATTTACTGATGAAGATCAAAGACCATAGCCTTTAGTGTGGATTGCATCTCATTGTAAAGAAAACAAAAATCCTCACCACTGTACCAATAAACATTCTTTTCAATGGAGAAAAGACTGAAGTTGTCAAGGACTTCATTTTTCTTGGAACAACCATCAACACTCCTGGAAGCAGCAGCTAAGAAATCAAACGACGTTATTGCATTAACCAAGTCTGCTGCAAGAGACTTTTTTTAAGTGTTCAATAGCAAAGATGTCAGCTTGAGGACTAAGTTATGCCTGACACAAGCCATGGAATTTTCAATAACCTCATATGCATGCGAAAGTTGCACAGTGAGTAAGGAAGAGCATAGAAGAATTGATGCATTTGAGTTATCATGTTGGAGACTATTGAAAGTACCATGGGCTGCCAAAAGAACCAACAGATATATGTTGGAAGAAGTACAACCAGAGTGCTCCTTGGAGGCCAGGATGGCCAGACTTTGTCTCTCATACTTCAGACATATTGTCAGGAGGGACCAGTCACTGGGCAAAGGGATATCAAGTTTGGTAAAATGGAAGGTCCCAGCAAAATGGATTGGCAGGGTGGCAGCATCAATGGGCTCTCAAGCATGGCAACAATGGTGAAGTTAGCCCAAGACGGGGCATTGTTTCGTTCTGTTTTGCATAGGGTCGCTATGAGTTGGTGCGGACTCGATGGCACCTAACAACATAGATGTAGCATGTTTTACCCAGTCATTCATCTGTTGATGGATATTTAGTTTGTCCATCTTTTGAATATTGTAAATAAGGCAGCAATGAACACTGGTGTAGAAGTCTAGGTTTGAGTAGTAACAATACTGTTACTACTTAGATATGCATGGGTGTCAAGCAGTGTTGATATTAGGGTTTCAGTTCACACATGCACAGGTTTGTTTCAAGCATGTGTAAGACAGTCTATGATCAGTGAATGGCTGCACATAAAATCTCAGTAATTGACTCATTAGGAAATGCCATGGAAAGAAATGATTGAGAGCTAATTATCATAATCTTAGCAAAACTCAGTATCATCTTCCCATACCATTGAAGCATTGCAACAAGTTTACAGGAAAGCTGCCCACATGGGCCAAGCAATTTAAAGAAGGTTGGAAAGACCTTAAAGATGAACTTGAGGCAAAGGCCAGCTCAGAATGCATGGCAACTTTTTTTGGAGATTCCAAAAGGGTAATCTTGATATTTTCTCAACAGACAGTAACAAGGAGTTACTATGAAGGTTTAAGAATATTCACTTTTTCCGTCATAGTGGCACTTACTGATTTTTGAGTGGCATTAAGGACTGTTCTATGAGAATATCATTGGGAAACCTTACCCCATCTACCCTATAGCCTTGATCTTGCCCCTTTAGATCTTTTGTTCTCAGAACTCAACATTTCAAAGGAAAATGATATGAGTCCCAAAGCTGCTGTTTAACATGGTGTCATTTGAGGAACACAGAATTAATTCTCGGGGGAATGATTATTGTTAGGTGCCAGTGACTCACACTAACCCTATGTGCAACAGAATGCTGCAGTTAGAGATAGAAACACCACCTTCAGATGTATATATAGACTTAGATGGGGAGGAGGAGTATGTAGAAAACCAACAGCTTCACTTTTTTTTTTAAGTTTCCTCTCCTCTGATTTTACAATAGTACTTTTTTTCACTTATCTTCATATACCTAGGACTGTAATTTCTGGGTCATGTGGTAATTATATTTTTAGTTTTTGGAGGAACGGCCAGCTTTCCACACGACACTGTTTTCCACAGTAGGTGTACCATTTTGCATTTCCACCATCTATGGATGAATTCTAATTTCCCCAAATCCTCACCAGTTTCGTTTTCTAGTACTTGCCATAGTGGGAATGAAATGGTATCTCACTGTGGTTTTAATTTGCATATATCTGATGACATTGAACATCTTTTCATGTGTTAGGTGGCCATCTACCCATTCTTTTTGCTTAAATCTCTATTCAACTTCTTCGCTCATTTATGACTGGGTTTTTGTTAAGTTGCCTAAATTTCTCTTTCTACACTGAGAATTTTTAACAAAAGGGAGCCTTTCTGTTTCAATTGAGATGACTGTTTCTTTTCCATTATTCTATAAATGTGATGTTATACGTGCATTGATATTCTTTTATCAAGTCACCCTTAGATTCCTGGGATAAATATCCCAGTAAGTCATGTTATATAATCCTTCCATAAGCAATTGGTTTCCATTTGCTAGTACTATGATGATGTATTTTGAATCTACATTGATGAGGTTTATTATACTGTAACTTTGTTTGTTCGTGGTATAACTAGCTTTGGCTTCACCATAATATTGGCTTCACTGAAGGAGTTACATTGAAGGAGTTAGGTAGGGTTCCCCTCTCTAGTAGAAAAACAATGGGAATTTAAAGAGATGTTTTTTTTCTATCTCCCTTTTCAATAATCTTGGGCTTAGTTATTAAAGTCAGAACCCTGAGTCTCAGTTTTCTCAAGTGTACAGGGAAATACTTCCTCAAAGAATTGTTTAGAGGATTAAAAAGGATAATAAGCCCAAAGGTCTGCTACCAGTGTCTCAGTATATTTGGTGAGCCTTTTGCCTTCGGTTCGTATGGTGATTACAGAAGCTATTTAGATAATACTTTTACGAACAGTTAAAATTGTGAGTGGTAATGATTACGAAACAGTTTTCCCCACTACCCTCCTCCCCTAAAAAACACACAGTAGAATCAATCCTCTATCAAATACCTATAATTATATTCTGCAAAGGATTACAGATCCAATGAATTCCCTAATGGTGTAGTTTTCATCCTCTCATACTAACAGATAAACACACATACATTCTCTAAGCACAAAGCTTATATTCACAAATAATTTTTTGTTTAAAGACAAAAAATGCCAATTAATAATCACAATGGGAATTTAGTTATTTAATGCAACCACTAGTCTAATATACTGCCCATAAAATTTAAACAGTTATATCACAAAACCAGCATCATATTCAGTGGACATGCATTAATAATAATCTATACAATTTAACATTACACCAAAAGAGGAATTGAATAAAAAAAACTTTAGTACTTTTTGGTGATTTTGAAATTTCATGGCACAGATTACCAAAAAAACTGTAAAAGCAGGTTTTAAGTATTTTCAATAAAATGGTAAAAAATTGGGATACATTTTTGACATTTTCAAACTGGGCTGAAGATTTAAAACATTAAGCTGGCCCCAATTTGTCAAAATTGACAGATAAATATTTACATATACTAGACACGTTTTAGTTACAATGGTACTGAGTAACTGACTATTCTTTCCTATCAAATACCCTTTGGGGGTTAATTTCTCAATGCAAACATGTCTTTGTAAATACTGTGATAATATTAACTTGGAAACAAATGCATAATCAGGACAGGGATGAAAAATAATACACAAGTCAATTTTTCTGACCTGTCAGCGTACAGTCTTCTGGCTCCCAAACACATAACACTGTCCCCCAATATAAAACTAATGAAAGAGTAGAATGACTTTACTAGCTGACATTCTACAAAATTATTTTTCACTACAAGATAGGACTAAGCTCAAGCTTTGTTAACTGCAGGGCTTCAAACTGATCCATTCCTGATAAATTCCCAGTTGAGAATTTGCATTTCCACCCCAGATACTGGTTGGAAATGCAAATGATCAGCAAGGGTTCAAACGGGAATGAACGAGCGTAAGGCCCTGATTAACCTCCATCTCTAGAGTATAATGAGGAGAACACCCAATTTATGAACCGACATAGCAGCCCAAGATGTTAAAGGTATTTTTCAAACAGAAGCAAACTTCTTTTGCCATTGTTAAAAGATTTCTATGTGGGAAGCACTGAACATATCTTGTACTTTTCATCAGGCTAAAGTGCAAAATATCTCCATATCTCTGGTATTTCAAGAGGCAAAAGTATCAAAGACACATAATAACTGAAGTGACAATAGAACTAGTACTTTAAAAAAAAACACTCTTTAAATATATATTTGAAGACTACAAATGACCAATTTAATTTTCCTTTCTTCAGTGAAATCTGTTTAAGCATCAAGTTCTTATAGAACCTGAAGTTTTGATTCTCTTCCCCAGGATCAGAAATTCCAAAATGAGTACCAGAAAAAAAAAAAAAAATGAAAATAACATTGCATGACAATGGACACTAACTTCATAAAGAACCTCTTCTTAAAATGAGATATTATGGAAGAAAATACCATGAAAATAATAATCCTATGAGAATCATTTTTTAAGCACAGTAAATTTGAGTCTTGGTCTTCATTAAGATCCTATTGTTTATATAGAAAACTATAAATATACAAGACTCTGGGAGGAAAAAAGTCAGAATACATATCAGAATACAGAATACATTCTGAAGGAAGGCCTAAAAAACATTGGGGTAGAAGGAGACCTGGATTTTCACTTCAGAATACAGAACTATGAAAAATTCCTGGGCCAAGAGTCCTCAAAAATGGAACCACACTTTGAAAAAAACACAACTTAGACTTTTTCAAAGGAAATAAAAAAGTACTGAGTAATCACAGTCCCTTTCCAACAGGAAATTTTAAATTAAGGGGAAAAGATTCTAATAGTGTAAACTAGACTGGCTCAGAAAGAAAACGTTATATCAAAGATTCTGTCCATAAAATGAATGATGGTGCCATCTTTTAATATTAAAGAACGAGGTTATAAAAAGGTTCATTTTCAGAATTGCTTTTCATAAAAGCTCATTTGTGCTCTTTTGTGGGTGCATAATAAAGTTCCATTGGTTTGTTCACTTTCCAGTATTTCTCACTGACCAATTCCAAAGAAAATGAGCCATTTAATACCTAGAAGAAAAAAGAAAGCATTATGAAATCTGCTTGCACAGTGAAAAACAAAAGCCAACAATCATTTTTTTATTCCTTAAAAAAAAAAAAAAAGCCATACATTACACTGTTCTTAAAGATCAGTCAGCTACCCTGTTGCAAATTATCTTTCTCTGAAGATGATATCTGGACAGTCTGTGTATTCTTGTTGGTGCCACCCCACCACTTTCCAGAGGGAAAGTCTCAGAAGGTCACTGTGTTCCCAGTTTCAACGCCCTATTTTACACAGAAGTCTGGTGTGGCACTGTGGGTTAATACACTGGACTGCAGAGTTGGTTTGAACCCAAGATCAGCAATTCAAGCTCACCTGCCGCTCCTTGGAAACCCTATACAGAGTTGCTATGGGTCAGAATCAACTCAATGGCATTTAACAACAACAACATCGTTTTATATACTTACAGTGAACTGGCCATTAGCTGTTGCTATGTAAATGGTATACTGCTTCTCACTGGCTGTATCAAGGTTCATCTGGTTTGATTCGCCTTTGCTTCGAAGTTCTTCTAAAGCAAGCCTCACAGCCAGGTACTTGGATAAGTGATCAACAGTAGCATTACCTGAAGTCTTTATGTACCTACAAAAATAATTTAAAATTTTAATTTCTAGAGTAACTGATCAAAATGTATGTATTACTGCATATGAAATTTCAAAAAGGTAAAGCAAAATGCATCAAATGTTTTTATTACATAAAAAAATTATGTACTATCTAAACATTTCTTATTGAAAAAATGCAAAAGGGAGGAAGAATATAACTCATGATTACCAGAAAGATCAAAGCTTTCCCTACTTCATTATCCATAAAATGCAAAGTAACATGACAAAAATAAAACAAATACACAAAATACTGAGGGAAGAGAGAGAACAACAACCCTTTCCAGCCCTAATGATCAGAATTCTGCTGTGTCTAAAAGCGGCGAGAGGAATAATAAGAGTGTGAAGATACTTCTTACTGTCTAAGAATTAACCAAATTCCTGATTTTTAAAAAATTGAGCACAGAAGTACTAGTTTGGGACTTTTTAAAAGTACGGTATCCCATTCAGTGATTCACTCAACAAATATTTGATGCTCTTCTGAACTCAATGGCAGGAATTATACTGGAGACATAATATTAAAACAGCCCTTCTTTACATCATGAATTACAGTCTAATGACATCCTAGTATCATTTATAAAGAATTTAAGCGATCCTCTCCCTCCCTCCTCCTCTAGGAGGGTCACTTCTGTCAGATGTGCAACAACAGGTAGAAAGCATGAAAGAAGAAGAAGAAAACGATCATCGAGGCAGTCAGAACAGCCAAATGACCCTGGCAATCAAAATAGAATGACAACTATTGCCTTACTTTTTATTCAAAATTTCCTGAACTCCCAACAGGATATTCAGATAGTCACACTTACCTTGTCTGTGCACTGTCATCTTTTTCCATAAGTGTGGGATGAGGCCTGAACACTAGCTCAATTTCACTAGCACCATCCATGACTGGATCAATTGCCACTGTTGCATTGTTATTATCAAGCTCAAGCCCAGAGTCGTCAGAAGTTTTGGTCCGTTTGTTACTAGGTCCTGCTTCCTGATTGCTGTGTGTGGATGCATTACTGCAGTGTGAACTATCACCATTATCTTCTGCTCCACTACCATTTTCAATCTGTTGTTTTTTGCCACGCTGTAGTCTAGATAAGGAAAAGGGTGGGGAGGGGGGTTAGTTTACATGTTGCATAAAATTCACATTTAGCCATTTTCAACGCATCAATTTTGAAGCATATTCCTACTGAAGATTAAAATTAGAAATCTTGGAATCTGGATTTGTTCCAACCTGTTTGTTGTTCCTCAGTGCTGTCAAGTCGGTTCTGACTCAGAGCAACCCTTTACAGGGTTTCCAAAAAGCGGCTGGTGTGTTACCACTGACACTTTGATTAGCAGGCCAGCTGCTTCTCTTACAGCACCACACAAGAACTCCTAGATACCCAAAAGTCTAAAGACATGTGCACACAAACATCTGAATGATTTAAATAAATTTTTATATTCCCTTAATCGTTTTCTTGAATAAAGACTATATGTATTGCCAAATCCTTATTGTTTTGATAAATTTCCTTTGTTGTAAGATTAGTAAGTCTAAATAAGACATGCTTCAGATGTTATTCTTAAGTACCATTGAATCATTTCCAACAAAAAGCAACCCAGTATTAGGTCTCTAAGGAGTAGCTGATGGGTTTGAACTGCTGACCTTGTGATTTCTTGTCTAGTGATTCTCCTACACAAAGCCACCCCAGGACTTCAGATAGAGAAAGTGAAAAGATCTCTGGATATTTATGCCATAAAGAAACAATATTTAAAAGAGGATTCCCTGCCCAAGCCCTCTCAAAATCTGCTACTGCAAGCTGAATGATGACAATGAGATGTTATCTAAATAATCAACCTGGACACCAAATCAGTAACCAGCCAGCGCATATGCTAAAACCAATGACTAACCAAGATACTTGGGTATATAACCTCATTTACTCTTTAAATCATCCCTGCCATGCAGAAACATCATTTTCTAGGTGAGAAAACCACAGAGTGAGATCCAAGGTTAATTATTCAGCCCACAGTTATACCATTAGTATAGTATATAACGGGCCAAATTCTTTCCACCATATTACTTGACTCTGCCTATAAATCCAAGAAAAAAGGAGACACACATGATGAGAAAGAAATATGCACATCTAAGAATTATATATTATTACATGTTTGTTTCCAGAATGAGGAAATAATATCCCTCTGCTTAGGAAAGATGCTCAAGGGTGGCTTGGCCCAGATGATAGGAGTTGAGGTTGTAAAGAAGTGGTCACAATCTGGATACGTTATGGAAAGAGCTAAAAATGCTTATTTGTTCATAGATTTGAATACAGGATAAGAAAACAAGGATGCAACTGTGTCAAGTGCTGCTTAAGTAAACTGTAGCCTTGAGAATTAATTAGCCATTAGATTTCACCATGTGGAAATGTAAGTTTGATAAGGGCAATGTGGTGGGGTTATAAGGATAAAGAATGAGAGGCAGACAACTCTTTCAAGGAGTTATGCAATAAAAAATAACAGGGGAAGTATAATGGTAAGTGTTGGGAAAGTGGGTTCAAGATTCCATTATGCCTAGAGGCATGAAAAGGGTAATTATGCAAGACTACTGTATATTACTGCATGCCAAAATGGAGACTACACAACAAACAAACCCCAACACTCTTTGGACCTCTTTCACACGTTACCTGTTCATGGCCTGTATCTTCAGTCCTTCCTCAATGCTGTGACTCAGTGCTTGCTGATTATTGTGCTTGTTAATCCTGGCTAATACTCTTTCTTGGTGAGCTTCATACTCATCACGACTTGGATAAATTTTGCTGATGAGGGCATCAAAGTTTGGGTCTGGCCTTAGTGATCTTTTCGAAACTAGTTTTTTACGACAGGTAGGACATTCTTTGTTGCTAAATAACAGGGGAAAGAAAATGCAAATGACACCAGTATCTGTGGGCTAAAGACAAAAGTACCCAGCTTATTAAGCACTGTTGAGTTGATTCCAACTCACAGTGACCCTGTATAGGGTTTCCAAGGAGTGGCTGGTTAGTTTGAACCGCTGACATTGTGGTTTAAACCAACCTTACAGTGCAATGCTTTATCCCACAGTGCCACACCAGGACTCTGGATAGTTAGCATCTTTACTCTGATGCTTTCATGAAAACCCAGAAATTCACACCGACTAGCCCTGGTTGATTTTTTTTTTAATATGACAACTGGGTAAAGAGACACTCTAATACAACTTTCCTATAGAGAAAAATTTGATCATTTATATATATAACCATTTTAGAAAAAAACTACCCATTACTATAAATTAATATTATTGTTTTCTTGAAGTAGCACATTTATAAGAATACTATATTTTATATACTTTAGTAGAAACAACATGGTTTCAAGCGAAACCATTCAACCATTTGAAAACAAAAATTCTCCAACAAAAATTTTTGGAGTTAAAACCAAAACAGTAGAAAACTGTCCATTTCTTAATCATATACATACAGATTATAGATTGTTAACCCCATACACAGCCCAATCCTGGTATACTATACGTAGGTACCTAGTACAATGAATTTCAACATACCCACTTCTGAGAGCTGTGATAATGCAGTCTGCACAAAAACGATGTAAACACTCCTTTGTAGTCATGGTGTTCTTCAACATATCCAAACAAATTGGACACATTAATTCACTGTGTAGACTTCGAGGTGAAACCACGATTTCCAAGCCATCTGTTATTGCCTCCTGTAAAAGAGTCACTTTA